ATATGACACTCAAACTTATAAACACCTACAAAAGAGATAATACTGTCAAATGTATGGTTCATTCTTCTTTTGTCTTATCATTTTTTAAGTTTCAATCTCCAAATTCTATTTTCTTTTTCAATTTAATTTCAATTATTTCAATTTATTTACTTAAATTCATATCTCTTTACCATTAGGTTGAGTACATGTCTGCAATGTTTATAATCATTTTAATACATTTTCTTTCAGTTAAAAAAAGTAATCTGCATTAGAAATGTTGATAAATTCCAGCCAAATGGATTGTTCACTATTATTATCTACAGTTTTATAACAGATCTATTAAGTACCATGATATTAGTATGAGTCAGTAACATTAGTAAAGCCAGTAGCTAAAACTCTAAAATCTCTTGTGAGGGCGTGGGTTGGTATTTTTGTGGGTTACTTTAGTAGAAATGGTAAACAATAACAATAACACACCCCGCAGCAGTGACCTGCCCACTGACAACAAAAATCAACCAACAACATCTGGAAGCTGTTTGTTTTCTTTGTTTCAGGATTCTGAATTACACATTTAAAGTAACGTTTCCTCGTGTGGGCCCCACGAAGAGTAATGGAGAGTAGCTGCTACCTTGGCAGTGGCAGCCAATCACAACCAAGCAACACAAACATGTTTCACTTTTCTTTATTTTCATTAAAAAGGCAGCGAGAATCATCAACAATCACCCGACAGAAAAGTGTTGGTAAATGTAACAAAGCAACAGACGGCTCCCTTCCTTCGATTTAAGGAAGGAAGGAGTGTGTGACTAACGGTGATTAGGCATTTTGCATTTGGGTGCATCTGTGATGTCAGAAAACCAGCCGGCTGACAGCCAAGCTGTTCTCCATTTAACTGGTGCTCAGGTGCCTAAACTATGTTGTCCTCACAAAACAAGTTGTGTACAAAGGTTGAAAAGCCAGAACACCACGGGCCACATTTTCAGAAGACAGATTGACTGTATGAACCGTTTCAGGATCACTCAATTATAGAAGTACGTGCTTCCCACTTATTGCTTCCTGCCCATTGTCTAGTTGCCATGACGGCAGTCATACCGGAAATTGCTTGTCGTTCCTGCAAACGAGACTTTTGCGGTGGCAAGACGTGAGCCTCTTCCCATTGTTACTCTCTCGTCATCTCTTCCATGTGTGCAGCAGATATCCAGGGACACAGCAGCTCCTGTTGGGACACTTCCCAGTAAATTCAGCCTCCGCTGGCCTGCAACCCGCACACAGGCTGGTCTCCCTCCCAGTGATCAACGGGAGGATATCAGCACAGTGCGGCCATGGAAGGCTTTCTTGCCCCGTTAGTATTTCCGGGTCCACAGCCTGGTGGCCTTTTATTGTTGTTATGGTTGAAGGCTGCTCCAAAGATTCTGTGCATTTCCTTATCCAGGCCTCAGCAGCCGGACATCTGCACTGCCTTAAGAGAGTTAGCCAAAAGCAGCTGAATATGTTGTTATTTGCCGACCTCTAGTGGTTCAAGTTGTTCCCTAGCTGCAGTGACACAGAGTCAGGTCGGCACAGCTCACTCCATCACCGCACCCGACAGATGTGCAACGGACTTTATCAACGTTCCTCAAGGAATTGGCCCAGAGTGCGAGTCCAGCTGCACTGCAGGCTTTTGCAGCGTACGTGTCACGAGTTCAGCGGGACGACAAGGTTATCGGTTACGGGGTCGACTTTGCAGGATTCAATGGGCTCTGGCACCGGCGTGTACAGACTCCCTGCTGTGGTCTGCAAAAACAGAACAGGGTCATGAGTGTGTGTGGGGAGAGCGTGCACGTTTTTTTATTCCACCCCTACAACATACCTTAAGTTCTTTGTTTCCGTTCATCATCATTTCCTTGAATATGGCTGAAGGATCTGGTATGACGGGGCAGATTATGGAGCTGTGCCTGCAAACAGACACGATGGCAGAGATCAGAAAAACCAGCACACAATGTTCCCTCCACCACAACGGGATATCTAGAATACGGCAACAGGCAGGTAGGTGGTGGTTTTTTTCTTCTCAAAACCCATTTCAGATGCAGATTATTAATGAAAGTAGAGCACTTTCACTTTAATGTCTACAGGAGATATTTAAATACCATAAATTACTTGGAGCACAGTGGACCTTTATGACATTCTTCTCGTTATTGCAGCTCCACCTAAAACACTCCCTACCTGTGCCTGCGGGTGAGGCTTTGTCAGTGCAAGGCAGGTCCCTGTGTTGCAATGAGCTCATGTTTTCGTCGTTGCACATAGGTACGCTTTACGACATCCACTCATTAAAAATAGATTGCGAAATGTGAAATGTGCTTTGTGCCGTGTGCAAAACGTACCTCCTGAAGCAGTAGCAGGACAGAAAGATGCAGACGGACAGGATGATGGGGAGGACGATGGCGACCACGGTCAACTTCTCGTCGTTGGTACCTGCGGTCATTCAAAGTAGATGAAAAGTGTTGCCGCATACAAGTGAGCAACACTAAGTCCCAATGCAATAGTTGCAATCAAACGTAACTTATTTGTTTCTCATAAAAAACAACGTGCAGAAAAAAATCCAAGCATTCGCGGTGGAATGTAACTAAGTACATTTACTCAAGTACAGTACTTGAAGGTACTTTTACTTTACTGTGTCATGTGTTACTTTTCAGATTTCTATTTTTCAACCTCTTCCTAAGCAGTGAAAACACGGAGCTCCTGATGGGTTGATTTTGCATTTGAAGGATGAAGTGTTGATCCAGAACCATCACATATAACAGTAGAACACGGAGGGAACTTTTTACTTTTCATACTTTAAGTCAGATTTGAATGCAGGACTTACAGTGGAGTGTTTTCACAGTGTGGCATTAGTACTTTTGTTTAATAGAGGATTAGAATGCTTTTTCCACCAAACATGGCTCTAAAAGAACATGAAAAGCAGACAAACAGTGAGGCCTGATGGGGAACAACCGATGGCAACCGATACTGGCTCTTACTTGCACTTCCTCCCTTTCTGGCTGTTCCTTTGGGACAAAGTCATTTTGACCTCTGACACACTTTAACAGCCAGACACATCGTTTTCGCATCAGGATAAAATCCTGATGCGAGTTGATGTCTATTCCATTTTTTTTTTAATAATATGGAAAGTACCCGGTGAAGAATATAAGGTACAGCATTGAAGCGTGCGAATCAGTGAATCCTACGACAAATATACTCTGCAAAAAAATGTCCTCCTCGATATGTCATTCAGCATTGAATGACTTGATGTCGATCTTGTTTTAGTGCATATAATAAAGTGAGAAATCATTGTCACTATAATAGTTCGGACACTTACCATAAGATACGACTTCGCCGCATTCGCTGAAAACTGTCTTGCAATAGCGATCAGTCTTGACGCTGGACCAGAACTCGTAGCGGCAGCTTTTATCGTAGGGGATGAACACAGGCTCTCCCTGTGTAGTGTAGTTATGACACTCCTAAAACAGGAAGCAAACAAAAGAACAGTGTTGGAATCTGACCGGTGTAGAGAAATTTTGTGACTTTCGAATTCTAGGCTGAGCAGTTAAATTGAACTACTTACTTCGGAGTGACTGCATTTCTTGTAGCACACCGTGTATGTCCAGCTGCAATTTACTCCAATCTTTGGATGCACCCAGCTCAGTTTGAGCTTATCTCCTTCTTCTTTTACGACGCTCAACACTGGTGAATCTATCACTGAAGAAGTGTAAAATGACAACAAAAATATATATAAATATGTGTTTTTCACTTACACTTGGCAGTACAAGTATTTGAACAGCAAATGTGTTACATTTATTTTAACAACGCACAATGATATAAATAATAAACTATTGGAAATAAAACTGACTTGGTGCAATTTTAGAGGTGCTCATTCCAGTATCAGTTTCAAAAGACACGCAGGTATCATTCTCGACTCCATCAGCTGTCAGGTAGCAGCCATACCTCCCCGCACCGATGTAAGGCCGATTGCACTCTCTTAAAGGCTTAATAAGTTCCTTGGTAAGTCCACATATCCTGCAACGACAAGATGGGCAGGTGATCAGAGAGTATTCCTTCAGCCGCCACGAGATGTTCATGAAGCTCACAGATTACCTCGTGCCCATTAGCATCTGTGCGGGCCGAGCTCTTTCATGATTTCACTAACGTTCCCCGTGTTAACAAGCCTTCACTGGGCAGGTGAAAACAACTAGCCCCTCAGAACAGCATCCATTAAAACTGTACTGCACATCACTGGAGACATACAGGATCTCCTCTATTTCCTGTCGCTGTAATTCTCACCTATAGGAGAGCTTAAGAGGCATGTTAGCCGGATTCCCTGGGATCCAGGAACAGTTCATTTCTCTTGTCCGGGTGATGATACATTTGATGTCCTTCACTTCAGCTGCGCAGTGCAAGAACAAAGACGGCACATTATAAGCGGCAAGATTCAAATAGGACTTGAGGGCATCGTCACAGACGCAGCGGACAGCTGTCTGCTTCTTACCTCTTGGTTTAGGGGTTTGAATGATTTTGCGCACCTCGGTGCTCTCATTCTGACTATTACATTCTTCAACAGTCCAAACGAAGTACGTCCAGTTGCTAGAGCCCGTCTCTTCTGTGAGGAGGGTCGCTGAGAAATTTCTCGATTTCACGCACACATACTGGAGGAAGAAACAACACGGGCTCTAATGACGGTTATGCTAACACATATTGAAACACTCCAACCACCTCGGGACGGAGGTCTGCTTGCAATTACGTTTATCATCAAGTTGCTTATTTGTTTCACATTATTTGTCCTCCTCATATTTAAACAACATACATTTCTGTGATTTCACAGTAATTCAACGTTTGTTTGTATAAGTGTGTGGTTGCATTTTTAGCATTTAGACAATGGGCCTTGCACGGGGCCCGGTGATATATATTACTGTATTTAGACATTTTATTTAAGTGTGTGCTTTGGCGTCACAACAAAGAGCCTCGTAATAATCTACGTTCAACGGCCGTCTCCCAAAATTGTTTTTCTTCTCAGTGAGAGTGAATGAATAAACCAATGAATAAATGAAGCAATGCATAAATAATCATAATAATTAATAGTCAGAAAAATACATAAATTACATAACGTGAAACATTAACACACCCACAAATAGACAAACAAAAACCCAGAGAGACCCCGATAAAGCAGGTTTCCTACACTCTCTGGGAGCTCCAGATCCAGGCAGTATTTGTACCAGACCTTCCCATCCTGCAGACCGCTGGGCTTCTTCCAGGTCACGTTCACAGTGAACGCGTCCACCCACTCATAGGACAGATCTGTCGGTGGAGGGAGTGCTGCTCGAGAGACAAAAAGGGGAGAATCAATGTCACCTGAAGATTGAATTAATGGCACTGTTAGAATAATATAATAATATATGTTAAAAAAAATCATAACAGCAATAGCCCCAATAATCAATGAATTCATTTTTTCATTATTTTTTAATTCACTTCCGTTTGAGTCTGAACTGGACGGTACACCGCGGTCAAGTGGGCTGAAAACTGACGCACTTTGTATTTTTGTTGCGCGACTATTTTACAAGCACGGTACTTGATTGGTGCGCTGTGACTAAGAGGAAATACGGCTCTTAAATCTCTCACGAGCGCTCTTCGCGGGTTTAGTGAAAGTACCATAGACTCATATTATATTCACGCAAGAGAAGTTTCCTTTGGCCGCATTAAAACAAAATGATCTCAGTGTAGCAATGTAGTGAAAATCCAGATAAAATCACCTGAACTCAACAGAAACGTTTTTCTCAATAGACTTGCTGAACTTAGGTACGACTAGTAGGGTCAAATGGGCTATTATTTTATCAAGATATAGAGAAAATCATATGAATTGGGATTACAGTAAATGTATCTTGATCTTTCTCAAATATAGTGTGATAAATTGAGTAAATATGCGTTTACAGGTGCCTCCATTGTTTAGAATGTCCTCCCAAAAAATAAAGAAATACAAAAATCGCACGGCAAATGGTTTTCCGTCCTGGAAACAGGTCCATGAAAGTTTCAGTTCAATCTTGTGAAACGACTTTTACAAACTTGCCAACGTTTTTTGCACCATAGACACATGTTCAACATATTCCATAAGAGGTTTAAAACTTCAGCTTTCGTTCATGTTATTCCACCGCAGAGAATTTCGACCATTTTGTGGTAATGAATACATAGTGGCGCAACCACATCGGAACAGGCTTAACGCAATTTTAAAACAAGGTAAAAAAAAAAAACAACTTATAAAAAGATTTATATTTTTCATTTAAACTCGACGGGAAAAGTGTCTTTGAAGTATTTATCTTCGTGCGTACATACTCTACTTACAGGACAGGTAGCCCAAAACCCGCCGCTACATGGACCATAGTTGGGTCATTAAAATAGTAGCAAACAAACATCCCAACATCATCCAAACATCCAGAATGACAAGTCACAGTTTAACAGCTCACTATAAATAGGGTTAAAGGTACGTCATTAAAGGTCACTAATTGGACTTTGGTATCAGCTGCGTTGTCTACTAAAGCCCTTAATTTATCAAGCTTAATTACGCTCTAATTATGACGAGGATGCTGGGTAATAGAGTATTTACCTGCTTTACAGTGGTGAACCATGATGACGGCGGTAAATGTCAGGAAGGTGAAAAATTCCACAGTGAAAGCCATGTTGTCTTCCGTTGGTTATCCCGTCTGGAGGCGCGTCAACTCCAATTTACTCCCCTCAGTAAAATACCGGGTGACAGTTAATGTCACAACACAGGCAAATACAGACGTTATGAAGTATACGGTGGAAAAGAAAACGGGGGATAAAAGCACACACTCAGGGAAGCGAGGGAGAGACCGGCTGCACCTTGACGGTCTCTCTGGGTGGCTTCGCGGTGTCTACTGGGAACAGCGGGGGCGGAGTCTCTGTGAGAGTGGGAGGACAGGCTGTGATGACAGGAGACCAGTGGGAACGTCCAACCTCTTCCCAACAGTACCGGTGTCCCACGCGGAGACGTCCCGGCAGTCCGCAAAAAAACACGAGTGTCAAAGAGTGCGACGTTAAAAGACGCTGCCCGCGTGGCTCTCCTGACCGAGGCAGAGTTTGAGATCCTAAGCATAATGTCAGAAAACCACAAGTGTCCATCCGCGTCTCCAGGAAGTCGTCAGGCTCCAAATGAGTTTGTTAATCGATAAGCTGATTAACTGCTAATGGCTTCATGCAGCGGCACAGAATGTACTAACACGAGGAAACATACAGAGGAACCATATTTCATCTGTGTTGTTTTCTGCTACACTTAAAGATGAATGACAAGCTTGATCTACTGTATAAATTACCTATTTTTTAAACTTACAAAAATACATACATTTTATGTGTTTGTCCCAAATAGCTGGAAATCTTAAAGGAGTACTTAAGCAATTTTGTACAAGGTTAGTGATAAAGTTGGCTCACAAGGGGACATTATTTAACAAAAGAAAGGTAAAAGTCAACGCAGCAGAGGCCAATATATCCTAGCTTTCAGCCCTGTAGTATGAGTCAAGCTCCATAAATGCTGGATCCTACACTACCCATAATGCAACACAACGTTTATACCTATAAAGTGCTGCAGGGATGACATAATTTCAAAGGCCAACTCCAGAAATCAGCGTCACACTGGATGGGATTTTTTTATTTAATTTTTTAAAATCTATCGTGAGATAGGTGGAGTTGTCCAGATGTCATGGAAAACAGCATTTTAAGGATTCCTTGTTTATGTTAGCTTCAAAGTGTGGATTAAACTCCATGGCAACGTGGCAACATCTGAGAGGGAGACGATGACTAAATGGACCATGTGGTGAAACTGGTTTGTCATCCACTGTCTCCTCAGTCAAGAATGAAAGGATCATCATAGTTTTTCTCTCCAGGTTTTATTGGAAAATGTCTTTACAAAGTCATTTTGACAAGCAGCCACACTTCACTATACAGCGCAATTAAAAAAGAAAAAAAAAAGAAAAATTTCTCTGCTAGGACAGTTTTGGACTGACAAGTCCAAAATGTTACAAATATAGATACAGTACGTACAAACATACAAGGATGCAGAATTCACTTTACAGCATGGCAACAAATTATGTACATTTTGCTTAAATATTATTCATCTTATCTGCTAATTACAGTGTAGCACTTGTGAAATACTGTAACTAACCAGCGCGTGATGAAGGTCTTATTACTGGGGGATGGGGGAGTCTCTTCAGAAGGCAAAGCACAAAGGCACTGGATCTTAATGAGAGGAGCTCTTCACTTGCTCACTGTACTGAAGTCAATACCATCGCACCGCTGTCATCGGCGTGTCCCGTTCACATAAAATGAGCCCACATAGAGAATTTTGTTTCACTGATTGTACTACAGCTCTGACAGAATTTGTCATCTTCTCTGGTATAAACATTATTTATTACCTCTAATACAACATTGTTATCACCAAAATAATTAGTTTTTTTTACATTTACAACGTAACCCTTCTTAAGAGCAGCTTTATCACCCTGAGGTGTGTCCTTTCTTTAACTTTGGAACACACTGAGAAGGCATTTGTCACGACGACAAACAGGGCAGTAACTGTGGCCTGGCGCTCGCTTGAAGATGCTGCTCTTTAGACGTCACTTATCCGTTTATCACGGCCTGACTGTGCGCCTATAAACCCACTCGGCTCGACTGAGTACCTCGATGCTTTGCTGCCGAGTTGGCGTGTTGCTCAGCCGGCAAGAGCCCGGCCAAACGAAACACGGAGGTACAAAGAGAAGATGCCGCTGTCTTCTAAAAGTCGACTCGAGTAGTAAAAAACGAATTATGGAGGATGTCCTGCATAGATCTGAAGGGCAACGATGCAGAGAGAGAGGACAGGAGGAAAGAAAATACTGCTTTAGCACAGTGTCTCCCTTTGAAAAAACAACAGTCTATCCTGCAGATTGTCACAAAGGAGGAAAAAAAAAGGTGCAACCTGGCATGACTCAGCACAACGCCTAAACCTGACACGCTGACATTTCGTTGGTGCTGCTGCGATACATTCTCCGAAACGGGGGGGGGGGGGGGGGGGGGGGGGGGTTTGGCAAGCGTAGCTGGGCAGACGTGAAACTGGGATCCACCCCCTCATCCGGTTCAGGTCCTTAGGGGAGAAGTGAGAGGGTGTGCATGTGGGACAGACATCAGCCCAGGTTGGTGGACGTCCCGCTGATGGCACGGAACACATGGAGGGAGTTTTGTAACAGCGAGCGCATCATATCTTCCTGGTAGATCTGGAATCAAAGCAAAACACAGTTCACAGGGGTCTCTCTCTCTCTCTCTCACTCACACACACACACACACACACACACACACACACACACACACGTAGAGAACTCCTCACACGGTGAGATGTGGATCAACATGAAATAGACGCTGAATGTAGTTAGTAACTGTTGTTTGTACAATGAAGTGCAAAACAAAACAAAGCTCTGAAAGTATTTCAAAATGACGTCACTACTAACAAGAGCGTGTCCTCGTCGCTACATGTAAAGTCATGTTGCCCTCGCGTTATTTTGTTTTTTTAAAACTCGAAAGTATTTCTCTGACGTCTGGCTGGTTTGCACACGTTCTTTCTTTGCATGTTGCTTCACTTCATTCTTTTGATCATCGTTCTGTTTGAATGGATGAATAAATCTGGGGTTACAATGTGCTTATAGACATTGTGTTTTAGAGCAGTACATGTAAAAGTCTACAAAGTGAATCACATCTGTATGTCTTGTTTTATTGAATTCATGTCGTCGCGCCTCTTTAAGAAGTCGGCACTTTCACTTGATGGCGGGACAGCTATTGAAACTAGGTAGGTCAGAACTATCTGATCTGGCTCACGCCGACACTTTTAACATCCAACTTCATCCTCATCTCACATCAAAGGCAACATTTAAAAACGCATCTGTCTCACAATACAAGTGTTTCTTTATGCTATTAAGTGTTGCTGGAGTTTTTAGATGTTTTGTACCTTTCTCCATGTAGGTGAAGTTGTGCCAGGAAGCAGGTTACTAGTGATGAAGATGACCACTGTCTTATATGCATTAAATGCACGGTTGGTAATCTTGAGAAACTAGTAAGAATATGCTACATTTCTAAAAGTCATCCAGCCTAAAAACCCGGCCCAGTGCTGCCTTCTCTTTTCCAATGCAAGCAGCTAGCAGCACCCGCCCCTTCAGGACCTTTGTTGTTTTTAAAGAAGATTACTGACCCTGTCCTTAAAGTACACTCATGTACTTTAATACAACAATTTGCAACAACTGTAAAAGCACACTGCTTCAAACTGACAGGCATTTATCCGTGCCATGTCGGAGCTTAAACAAATGACGGTTGAGTCTGCTACAGCTCGCCATAGATGTGATTTACATGAAAACCCTGCCAAGCCCTCAAAGTCAACTTCTGCGAGACCGGTCAAGCTTGGTTTCCATCATGTTACTCCTCACTCTGTTTACATGTGGTTTTATCCAGGATATTCATAAGATACATGATTCAACTGTTTCATCATCGGCTGTTCAGTTGATGAGCCCGCTTCAGTTTATGGCTGACTTGTGGTGGGACAGCGACATCCTGCATTTAATCCGCTGCCAATTTAAACGGATCAATACGTTCTACCTCCGATCTATACGGAACATTTGGTTCTTTCAGTTTTACAATTCTTCTTCTTCTACGCTCCAGAAGAGAGAGATTTGGCGACCACACCTGCATGACTTGACAGAAGGCGGCCGCCCTAGTTTGTTTTGGAATAACTGAGGTTACACTCAGAGCAGCAGCTCTATCACCAGGATGTAGGTTTTACATGCGGCGGCCATGCAAATAAACATCATTTGATTAGCGGCATACAGTAGGTACGGAAAGTATTCAGACCCCTTTAAATTTTTCACTCTGTTTCATTGCAGCCATTTGCTAAAATCAAAAAAGTTCATTTTATTTCTAATTAATGTACACTCAGCACCCCATCTTGACAGAAATGTAGAAATTTTTGCAAATTTATTAAAAAAGAAAAACTGAAATATCACATGGTCATAAGTATTCAGACCCTTTGCTGTGACACTCATATTTAACTCACATGCTGTCCATTTCTTCTGATCCTCCTTGAGATGGTTCTACTCCTTCATTGGAGTCCAGCTGTGTTTAATTAAATTGATTGGACTTGATTAGGAAAGGCACACACCTGTCTATATAAGACCTTACAGCTCACAGTACATGTCAGAGCAAATGAGAATCATGAGGTCGAAGGAACTGCCCAAGGAGCTCAGAGACAGAATTGTGGCAAGGCACAGATCTGGCCAAGGTTACAAAAGAATTTCTGCAGCACTCAAGGTTCCTACGAGCACAGTGGCCTCCATAATCCTTAAATGGAAGAAGTTTGGGACGACCAGAACTCTTCCTAGACCTGGCCGTCCAGCCAAACTGAGCAATCGTGGAAGAAGAGCCTTGGTGAGAGAGGTAAAGAAGAACCCAAAGATCACTGTGGCTGAGCTCCAGAGATGCAGTAGGGAGATGGGAGAAAGTTCCACAAAGTCAACTATCACTGCAGCCCTCCACCAGTCGGGGCTTTATGGCAGAGTGGCCCGACGGAAGCCTCTCCTCAGTGCAAGACATATGAAAGCCCGCATAGAGTTTGCCAAAAAACACATGAAGGACTCCCAGATTATGAGAAATAAGATTCTCTGGTCTGATGAGACCAAGATTGAACTTTTTGGCGTTAATTCTAAGCGGTATGTGTGGAGAAAACCAGGCACTGCTCATCACCTGCCCAATACAATCCCAACAGTGAAACATGGTGGTGGCAGCATCATGCTATGGGGGTGTTTTTCAGCTGCAGGGACAGGACGACTGGTTGCAATTGAAGGAAAGACGAATGCGGCCAAGTACAGAGATATCCTGGAAGAAAACCTCTTCCAGAGTGCTCTGGACCTCAGACTGGGCCGAAGGTTCACCTTCCAACAAGACAATGACCCCAAGCACACAGCTAAAATAACAAAGGAGTGGCTTCAGAACAACTCTGACTATTCTTGACTGGCCCAGCCAGAGCCCTGACCTAAACCCAATTGAGCATCTCTGGAGAGACCTGAAAATGTCTGTCCACCAACGTTCACCATCCAACCTGACGGAACTGGAGAGGATCTGCAAGGAAGAATGGCAGAGGATCCCCAAATCCAGGTGTGAAAAGGTTGTTTCATCATTCCCAAGAAGACTCATGGCTGTACTAGCTCAAAAGGGTGCTTCTACTCAATACTGAGCAAAGGGTCTGAATACTTATGACCATGTGATATTTCAGTTTTTTTTTAAAAATAAATTTGCAAAAATGTCTACATTTCTGTTTTTTCTGTCAAGATGGGGTGCTGAGTGTACATTAATGAGAAATAAAATGAACTTTTTTGATTTTAGCAAATGGCTGCAATGAAACGGAGTGAAAAATTTAAAGGGGTCTGAATACTTTCCGTACCTACTGTATGTAATTTGCATCGTTATCAACAGCACATGTGGTGCCGGCGTTCGGCCACAATCATGTGTCGGAGCTCGTCGAAGGATTCTCATCCTCTGAATGCTTTGTTCTTTTTCAAAGCATTTTAAATTGCTGAATATTTATTCTCTTTTATTCTCACTCGTTTGTAATCAAGGCCTCGAGTAATTAATCACCCATTTCTGCAGACTCCCCATTTTGACTGCTGCGTTATTATTTTTTGTATCCAGATGAATGTATGTATTTAGATTACCATTTGAAGGAATGAACTAAGAAGGTGCACATTGAGAAGTAATAGGTTTCAAAAAGGACAAAAAGACAGATGGAGCTTTAACACACCTCGTGATCACATTACCTGTTTTTCCTTAAAGCTAATGGCCAGCACAATGGAGAGAAAGAGGCAGACCAGTTAGTTCAGAGCAGCTAAAGTGATATCAAATGTCAGCAGGCAGAACAACACTGCTACAATACAACCACAACACATTGCACTGATGGGAAGAGGACAAAGTAAACATTGTCAATTCCCTCTCTGTAAAATGACTGCCACATGATATTATTTTGCACACACACACACACACACACACACACACACACACACACACACACATACATGAGGAGAATCAGCTCAATTCTATTGACAAGGATTTTAAGAGCAGATGAGTGCATGATGATGGGAGTGATTCTTTCCAGGAAATCAGTTTTCTTTTATTCCAGGATGTTAAACAGCTCCCGCAACTCATTATGACTCACTCCAAGTCTCATCAGCGAGTCGGTCTATTTTTGACAGCCGCAACCACATTAACGCCGCTGGAAGCTTCTGGAAACGTGAGGCCAACGTGTTTATGAAATCAGACCTGCTTTCATGAAACGCAACCAGCAGGGTTGGTGCGGTGATAATGGCTCTTTCTCTGCCCGTGTTGAAAACAAATTGACTTTGTGTGTGTAGTTGTGGATGGAGAAACCATGGTGATGGAGACCAGAATTAAAAAAAGTTAATGCTGGTTCATGTGTATGTGCAGTTTAATTTGTCACAGTTTCCATTGTTTGCATGTTGCTGATTCCACACGAGGCTCAGTGGACGATAATCTCATTAGCATGCCTTTAACATGGAGCCTGGCTGAGTAGAATGCAACAGTAAAAGCTTTTAACTGTGGTGATTGTCCCTATAGTGACTTTACATATCATCTTAAAGGTGTTGCATTTTAAATTCTGATCTTTAATATACCAGAAAAAAGCGCATGCTTCTAGTGCTTGCGAGTCCCAGTGAGCGTGCCCCACCCTCCGGTTGCCCCTCAGGTAAACACTGTGTGCTCTGTCAGCACTGCTGCTGTTGTTCGCACTGTTAGCGGCTAGCCGCCGGCTCAGTCTAGCCATGTTGAGAGCTGTGTGGAGGCAATCCCTCAATCATAGAAATGCTCTGAATTTGGAATTCAGCACCTTTGAAGGATTCGCTTCTATCTATACAGAAGGTTCTGGTTGTATTTGTCCAGATTTTGAGATATTTAAATATTCAAGTAGATCCAATGATACCTGTTTTATAGTAAGGTCTGAGGATTACGTAGAGCAGCAGGGACGTTTATGTTGCTGTTGAATTTTCTAAATGTCATTTTGTAACCCTGTGAGCAGTATGGATTAACTGAATATGACATGATTACATGCGCGCACAGTGACTATTAGCCCCCTAACCACAACGTACTGTAGCATCACAACAAATGACTCAACACATCCAGCATTCTCCAGTGAATAAAATACTGTTTTTTGAAATTAAGCAGGAAAATGGTTTTATAGTGATAACAGTTGAGTGGCCACACAGGAGGCCCGTGTTTGATTTCCAGACCACTGCAGCAGACTTTGTGACCAACTGCACATGAAAGCAGAGCTAAGCGTTTGTGTAACAGGGGTGTAACGGTAGAAAGAAGTCCCCCAGAAAAGGCGAGAGTACCTGCTCGTGGATGATGTCGGATAGCTCCTTTACCATGTCTTTGAAGTTGGCCTTCAGGCCCTCATGGTACTCAAACTGGTCCTCTTTGATAAGACGCTCATTTATGTCCAGAGCTATACTGCAAGCCTGAACAAAACGCCTGCAATCATCAAAAGTAAGATGACAAACTTAATAACAAACTCAAATGACTACTTATCAAATCCCTCATAATTGTTTACCAGAAATGAGGAAGAAGTAACAACACAAGAAATAAACTGAATAAATCCAACAGTACCTGAAAATGTCCTTAAGATCTTTCACTTTCTTGATGGCAGACTGGTTGGATTTGCTGTCATCCAAGAATGCTCTGGCATAGGCCATTGGACCCGCATTCACCTACAACAAAACATGCCAGGGAGTGTTAAGCATTCCCGTACATCACTGATCTGCACCCAGATTACAGTTGGCACGCAACATTTGTGCGCGTCACTCAAATACTGATCCCAGCCCAGCTTTGCACAATAACCAGAGTCCATGTCTAGTTCATGTTTAGTTTATTAGATGTCTGGCCAAGTTTGACAAGTTAGACTAGTTATTTCATTTAGACTGTTCTAAAAGTGGGTGATTTGTTATGGAAGACTTCAAAAGCCAATTGAGAGAAAACAATCAAATGTTTACCATGCAGCAGTTATTATCGTTATCACTATATTTGATCTTTCACTTCGCTGTGCCTCTGAGTGACGGGGACCTTTACCTGCACAGAGACGCAGCCCTGCAGTTTGAGCTGCAGTTGGATCATGTCCACCTCCTGGCTGGAGCAGAGTTTGGTCAGCTCTGCCGTTCGCGCCTTCATCTCATCGATGGCCACTTCCACCGGCTTGAGCTCCACCTGCTTCTCCCCCAGCACCTCCACACGCTTCTTCACGTACGGGAAGGTGTTGGCAGCTGGAGATAAAGCGGGCAGGCAAAACTGGTTGGCTCTAGCATATGCCCATTGTGACAAAATGCAAGAAAATGTATGTTCGATGCGTTTACACATTTGTTAAGAGACGACACAGAAAAGAAAGTCATGTACTTGTGAGCACGCTCCTCCTCTTGCACTGCTCCTCCACCCCGCCGTGTTTTTTGCCCGACAGCGTGTACGGCGTCTCGAACACGAAGCGGTTGATGTTGTGGCACTTCTCAAAGTCTGTCTTCTTCTCCGGTGCCTCCTTCTCCTCAAAGTACGACTTGACGAACGTCACCTGGACGTAGGCGAACTTGGCGTCCAGGTCTTTGGGGTTTACCTGTGGGAAAGCAAACACCTTTAATGAAATAGAATTGCAAAAGCACTACATTTTAGAGACAGATGAGATAAGTGAGGCTCTTGTCAAATGGTGAGTAATAGTATAAATGTCATCCAAAGGTAACATTCCTCTTGTTCAAAGACTTGAGGCCAAAACACACATTGCTTCTTCTACTTCACCCTCTACTGACTCACATCAAAAGCAGTGAAATAAATCAATTTGCAGCTTGTCAACCGAGACTTCCTGATGACTCCATTGTGAGGAAACTGAACATTTCCCACATTATTGTTGAACAAATGACATTTTCTAAATAAACACAAGAGCGGAGCTGCGATTTTCATCCCTGACTGCGTTTCAATCATTCTCATCAAGGCTATTTACTCCCAACGTCTCCATCCTCCATTTCTCTAATGCACCTTGTTTGAGTCCTGAATGATCTTGACGTTTTCCGGCCCAAACTTTTCCCCGTAGAGTGACAGCAGCCGCTGAGAGATTTCGGACAGGCCAGTGAGTTTGGGCTCTTTGTAAATGTACTCCTTCCCGTCCTCCTCCTCGAAGAAGCCCTGCACAAAAACACACACGTTCACTCACTAAATATAACGACAGACAGTCCGTTGGAAGCCTTCTGGAAGTAACATGCATCAAAACGACGCATTTAGTTCAGTAATGAGTCCTAAAATGTTATTTTTTCCTCTGCGTTTTCAATACAAAATAACTTAAAGTGTCAAAACCATTAAAAAGATAGCGTGATTCTGCCTTTTTTCTGTTGTTTTTGCCTTCTGCACAAGAAAAATGCAACACATTCACCATATTTAGCCTAACTTGTGTAACACATTTGCATGTCACATATCCTGAAAGTGTCTGCTGACTTCTAACGTCCCTGCAGTTACACAACTTTATTACATCCAGTCTTGAACCTGCTGGTTAATGTGCTATCACACATTGCTCTAAATGCAACCTTTGCATGGTGAGTTACAGTGTTGCACTCAGTTTCAAAACATTTTTTCTAATCACAGTTCTGTCCCTCTAATCATTTCACTTATACTTATGGCATATTTCCATAACATATCCAACAAAGGGTTTTAAAACATGCTTATGCAATCACAACAAACAGATACAAGTCTTACTGAACATCTTGCTTTGTATTTGCATGGCTTTAACTGGAATAACTTGCCTGACTCCACCAAAAAAAACAAAAAAATTGATACAGAGCCACATTATGTCTACTTTTACTTCAACTTTATCCTCTACACCATATTTCAAAAGCTTTCTGGCGAAGGTGGGAGTTCACTCTTACTTTTAGTTCTGACATAATATGAGACTATTGGATCTACATTCAAATTTACCTAGCCCTTTTGTGTGCACCTCACCTGTCCGTAAAAAGCCACCCTGAAGTACGTCCCGAGCAGCCTGCGTCCTGATTGTATCACCTCCATTATCTTGTTGTAGGCTCTGTGCAGAGTGTCGTACAGTCGACTTAGTTTCTGGGAAAAACAAATAAGACGTATGGCATCAGAGTTGGTCTATTTTCTGATTGTTGTTTTTCTTGAAATAACTGAGCCGTGCCTGCAGGAACATTCACATGCATTGGAGTTATGCAACATCCCATCAAACAAAGAAACAAAAATTAAAGACATTTTCTCCGTTCACGTTAGACAAGTATATGTCTATAGGCGCCATTACAGACTGGCGACCTCGTTTCTCCTCCAGGATGGGTGTTGGGAGGCTCACGGCCCCTGTGAACCCGACCTTTCCCCGCCCGGATGTTGTTTACAAGAGCAGCAAGGAAGAGCTATTTAAAGCACTCGATAACAACCAAGTTGTCTTCTCAAGGAGTGAGAGAGTCCCATTAAATGTAGTTAGAATGGTCACACTGGTTGCATGTTGAGTACGAGGTTACGTTACTTCTGAGACGCCAACAATCCTGTGAGTGCAAGTCAACAGGTCTAAGAAGCCCGGGAGTTTAATAAAGAGTGGAAAATTAATAAGGTAAACTCTACACACCCGTATTTATATGAAGAAAATGTTTCTACAGACCAAAGTCCTTACATAGGTGTGCAAACGTGGCCTTCACAAGCACGAGGACACGGATGGATCACTTTGCAAGGACAGGCAAGAAACAGTGGCTGCATGTTTATGTTCATCCTGATATCTGTACCTCATACTCGAGGCGCTTCTCGTAGGTGGGGATGATGAGTTTGGCGATGTGCGTGATGAGCTCATAGCGTTCGGCTTTCCACAGTGCCTCCACGCAGACCTCGAGGTGTTCCACCAGGACTTCCTAAAAAAGGTTTGAAAAGTGAAAACTGATCTCTTTTTATCCACATTAACAGTACCATCAGATCAAACAAATAAAATATGAATTAGTTATGATTTTAAACCTGGGTGTTATTGAAATACAATACCGATAGCAAAATGATGCATTTCTTTTAACTTTATTTATGTGATTAAATATAACACAATTATGAATCTGACCGGACATTGGAGCTCGGTGCTACGTACACATTATTTTTATCACTACCACATTAAAGGGTTGAGTTTAGATACCAGCCCCTAGTTGGGAGGAAAATGTAGAAATTAATGACAACCAAGCCAGTTGCTGTCTGTGAGGTAAAATCAGGGGATCTGGATTGACCAACTATTGCTGAAGTCACTTCACAATGTCGTATGCAAGAAACCACTTCCTGTGCACCTCAGTGTAATAGACATCTTGCATTCCGGTGTCTTCCCTCATGGCAGCTTCCTCTTCAATATTCAAGGTAATCTTCTTAAAAGCGGCAAGGCCACTGGGGAACAACTCTAGTGAGCAGCAAAGACAAGGTAAAAAAAAAACAACTGGTTCACAGAGATGTCCTGAAGGAAATGATCTGCTACACACGGTATTTCATGTATGTAAGTTATGAGGTTGCAACATCACAGCAACTGGCCCTAAAACAATGAAAATCCAAATGGCAATCTGTATGAGTCATGACAAAACATACAGTCACCGTGGCCTATTTGTGGTTTGTAGAGACACACCTCACAGAGAAAAATAGAATATAACTTGGTAGTTACGAGACTAGCTCATAATGAATCACATAATAAAAGCAGAGACACTGCTGCCTCTGGTCTAGATGCCAAACACATTTTTTGAGAGAGTAGCAGGCAACCAACTGATGCTGCGCACCTCATAAAATGTCTGTTGACATTCCTCAAACACGAGAGCCATTTACTTTGTTTTTACTAGATGTCACTGTGCTGGTGTGGCGGGTCTGAGGAATGTTTGCATGCTGTATCCAACAAAAGTCCCTGACCAAACTGGCATGTCTTTTATCACCTGTGCAGGCAAATCTTCTGGGTGAACCACAAAGCTCTATAAAGAGTGAGCGTGTTTCCTGGTGAAGGTTAGGTGTGTGTAGTTAGTCACGTCCTCACGGTGTCGGTTAAAGGGACAGTTCCCCCCAAAATCCATGAATCTAGATTGATTGAAAGCACTCTAGGCAAGAGGAAAAATATGTATTTTTGGGGGTGAACTGTCCCTTTAAGACAGTAACTTCATTGTGGTGGCTCTTTGACATAGGCAAATATTTTTCTTAGGTGCTTCCTCAGCAAACTATTGTTTTTCTTGATGGTTCAACCAACTGGGACTTTTATTAATGCTGCACACATTGCTTGGTGTTTAATTACAGTATAAGTGTAAACCACAAATGGAGGTAAAAGCATGCGTGTGTGTGTGTGTGTGTGTGTGTGTACAGTAGATGTGGGGAGGGCCTTACTTTTCCTGTACAGGTATTCTGCAACCAGTGCAGCCACATGAACGTAGCACATGGCCGCCTGTGGAGACAACAACAAACACCAGCAGAGTTAGAGAATATTCCTACAGCAGATCAAGGACGTAAACATGCAGCTCTATAGGAAACTGAAAAGGAAAACCCTGGCACAAAGTCAGGTGTGAGATTGCAGTCAGCAACTCATTAATGTCATTATACAGTATATCACTATGGTGACTGGTTTATTGTGTTTCACCTGTGACTCACATCTAACCAGCCACACCTTGTATCTTTAATGGCAGCTTGTCAACTGTGAAAAAGCAACATGTACGAAGGCCTGACAGCCGCCAGGCGAAAGGTTCATCAGTTCTTAATCATGCAGTCATTCCCAAGTGTCCCGTATCGTATTCTAAAGGCATATTTTACACATTACTTATAATGAGTAACAGTGAAAAGATCTTTTTCTGTACAAGAATTGTAAAAGTGTGTACAAAAAATACAAACAGTATAAAAAATAAAAATCAGATCAAATAAAAGGAAGCATAAAAAACAAAATAAAACAGAATATCAAACAAAAACAACAGAATATAAAATAAAAACAAAACAAAAAGGGAATTAACCAAAAATATAGAATAAAACAGATCTAAGGTTTATTTGCTGGTTGCTGCGCTGTCATCTTGTCTTTCCTCTTAGCTTTGTGTGTAATAAAACCGGTAAAATAAATAAATACGCCTGAACTCAAGCCATCAGTATGTCCACTGGACCACCCAGGTTCAACCTCTGTGTCAACCCTGACCTCTGACCTTCCTCTGGAGTGGGACAACATAATCTTCCTTCAGTAAAACATCACATTGTTATGACAACCTAATTCCAGTAAAGTAGCAGTAGAGTACAAAGCTTCATTACTCAGCTTTACCTCTGTATCAGTCCCCCTTGTAAAAGTTGTGTTAATTTGACAAAACACACAGGGTTGTTATCATACTGTATTGTGGGACAAGGTCCAAGGGCAGCAGTAAAACTATAAAAACTACATATGTATTAATGTGTTACAACTTTTAAAGAATTTCTGGAGGTAGTGAGTAATGCTTCTTTGAAACCTGAAGTGGAGTGACTCACTGTGTACGACTAGAGAGTACTGTAGGTCACACACTCTTTAAGGTATTTGCTTTGGTATTGCCTCTGAGTGTGGCAGTGTGCACGTCACCAGTGTACAGTTGTAAGTGATAGAGAAAGGAGGTAAGATTATATGCAAACATGTCTAAAAGCGACAACAGAAACCCGGTCCTGTTGGCACGCATTACTTCCATAGAGAGTTATGTGGATACAGGTATCAATAACAAGACCAAAGAAGAGACAGACGGATGAACATATGACACGAAGCGACACATTCAAAGTGGTCCTGCTGATACCTCAGAGAAATCTCCGTTCTTGAGGTGTGCTCGGGCCATGCTGTCCAGCCAGGTTCGTCTCAGTTCGGGGGTGCTGGCGTAGGACCGGGCCAGGCTGTACTGGAGGTCCAGCAGCATCTCCGGGTCTCTCTCGTGCTCCCTCATCTGGGCCGTGGCCATCAGCACGGTGCGGATCCGCTTGGTCAGGCCCTTTACTTCAGTGGGGAAGGCTGTGGACTGCGTTTGTGTGAGGTGAGATAACACACAAAACAAACACACAAACATACACACACACACACAACACAGACACAGACATGTGAAAGCATGTTGTTGCCGGGCTACGACGATCCTGCTCATTCTCACACTAATTTGAATTCTTCGAGTGCGGTTTGGCAAACCGATTTGTTAGTCTCAGACAAAGTTATCTTTAATCGCAGCGCGCTCTTGTTTTGAAATAAGGACAACATGAAGAACACAACCAAAACCGTAATCATCACTCAAAGCGTTACTGTGCTGCTCAAGCGATTGCAGCTACTTGTAGGGAGGCCTTCCCAGCATGCAGGGGGGCAACAAACTCGCATGCAGACGTCTCATAATACGCATTGTTGGTAATGTTGTTTTATATTGTGACGTACGATGTTTCCAATGTTTCCCCACAATTGAAAAACCCACATCAGTCAAACCTCTACACAGTTAGAACACTGAACAGTCTAAACAAACCACATCAGCCGTATTGCCACGCTACACAATTAATCTCACATCGTGTTTGTTTTTACAAATGGGACCGCCGTGGCTGGTCTAAATAGAGAAGAAACACACACAGAGAGTTGGATCACAGAGAGGCTTTCTGCAGGTGTTGGGTTGAATCCCCTCTTGACTTGGATAGCGCAGCACTGGCTTATATAGTAATATTTCAGCCACTCTATTTTCTTGATTTTCTCAGTTATTGGATTTGGAGCTGTAAGAGTTTCTGGTTTTCCCTACGCTCGTCTTGTTGACTTCTACTGTACCTTCATGGCCTTGTCACTATTCGCAAAGTTGTTGATGATGGAGAGAGACTCCTGGAAGCGAGAGCTGCCGGTCAGCGCCACGTCGGAGATCAGCTGGCTTACAGCAATGATGATCTGGACGAAAAGAAGAAGGAGCAAAGTGAGGGGATGGTTAGAGAGGAGCGGACCGAGGAGGGGGAACTAGAGTGGATGAGGAGGAGAGGAGAATGAAAGGAGGGTAAACACAGCTCCACTTGGTATATATATTGACAGAGTCCAGTGAGAGCTAATGGAAAGCTGGATGGCCTTCTGCTGCTGTGTTAGAGGAGCCGGAAACTGAGCATGCAGTCTGTTTAAACACTCTCCTAACATTCTCCACTGGCCTTATGAAAAGCATCTGAAGTACTCGGATGCAAGTATTGCGATCATGAGAGTATTGAGATCATGAGAGACCTTGTTACAGACCACAAACTGTGTTGACTGTTGACAATAAGGCTCACTGAGTATTAAACATGCATGACCAGAAACTGGTCAGGCCAGTTTGGAGGACGACAAGCGCATCCTCTGTTTCTTTTTCTACTTTAACACAGACACTCCACTCTACCTGCAGGTGTGTGCGTAGGAAGGTCTTCCTCTTGGTGTACTCGTAGTTGTTTCTCATCAGCAGGTAGAGCAGGGCCGACACCTCGGCCCTCAGAGATCCCAGCTTGGAGACGCAGCACTTGAGCACCTCGCAGCACAGAGCCTCGCACAGCGTCACGCGTCCCTTAAACAGCACCGACGGGAACTGGCGGGACAACGAGTTAGTGTGTTAAAGGGCAGAGACGGGATTAGAAAAATACCTTAAGGATGTGGGGACGGAAGCAGCACTAGTTTAGGACTATTTTCAGTGTGTGGGATTGAGTCAAAATAAACTTGTGTGTGTTCATAGTAATGAAGGAACTTGAACATAGCTCTAATGGTAAAGAGGTATAAGATAGATGGACACAGCATTTACTACACACACAATATAATATTTGTTCGCAGGGTCAATTAATTGTTGTTGTTTTTTATTATGGTATTTGTTAAGAATAAAAAAAGGGTATAGTTACACATTAGAATCAAAGTACTTTAGTGAACAAATGATCATGTCTTCCTATAAATCAATATTGGGTTAGGGTCATAATGACTCTCTAATGTCTCACTGTAACCGACACAACAACATGTCAGAACAGTCTCTGCTGCTGCTCGCCTCTGACGCATTACACAAGCAGCCAACAGTGATACTGCTGATGCTATCACAGGATAGCACTAGGGAAGCTGGGGCTCGACATGACATGTCCCCTCATGAGTCTGAAATCACGTTGCGTTAGATCTGAATGAATTGTGTGAAAAACAATTCTAAATCGGATTAAGAGTAATTAGACAATATGTGAATGTGGGAACAAGGCGGCAGCAACAACGACAAACACAGGAAACTGATGTTTATTCCATTGCATCCGCTCTTTTTTGTCAAGTCCATCTTTTGGATGCTATAAATAGTGCAACGAGAGAGAACGACCACCGCAATGACACGTAGGATGGAAGAAGTGACAGCATTCATCACTTCTGGTTGTTCACTAGTGGCTAAAACGGTTGTTCCCAAACAACGAAAAGCATCACAGCTTCTTTTCTTGAACAGAGCCCGCCTCGGTCATGCCGACTTCAATATCGCCGTGTGCAGACGTACCTTGTTGATGAAAGCCCTAAGCGCGGCGAAGACGTGTCTGAGGGCGGCTTCTGATTGGCCGACTTTAAGGAAGGTCAGGTAAACGTCAAACACCTTCTTCATCAGGGGGTTGTGACCGTCGCTGTCCAGCAGCTGGGTCTGACACACACACACACACACACACACACGCACACAGAGGGGAACACTGCATTGAATTACATTATTCCCCAGAGAACACCAAACTTAACCGAAATATTTTTTCTGTCCCTACAACACGAGTAGTACAAGTATCCACACGCATACACACACTTTGATGTATAAAAAGCTCAACTATGACTGTATCCTCAAACAAGTAGGTTTGGTTAAGTGTGTATGGGTGTTCCTGACTTAGGCTTCCTTCGGAGACACATTTCATAGTGAAGACAAGTTAATTGGGAACGGCTTGTGCAATTAGGGACAAAAATCTTTTAATAATTAAAATCTAAAAAGTTGATTTGGGGGTCAGCGGCTAAGCTTAAGGGTAAAGGAAGTAGTGGTTGTGGTGAGGGTCCATGAAATTAACTTAACTCTTAAAAAGTGACCAAAGTAAATGTGTGTGTGTGTGCACGTGTACTGACCTTAAAACACTGAGTGAAAAGAGAGAGGACATCCAGGACACTGAGAGAGACCTCAGTGGAGATGTTGCCCTCCAGCAGAGCCTGATGGTGGATCTCTGCTTCTGATGGCCCCGTCCCTAGAACACACGCACAAGATAATATCACGACACAGTGTACAGTAAGAGCTCACATTGCGATAAAGAACACATCCATTACCCCCTTCTGTGTATAAAAGGCTGCCGATTATCACGTTGTCTTTAGTTATCAGCACTCTCTTTAATTGCTGATTTGAACACAGTTTACAGGCAAATTATTCAATTATTCAATAACTGCTTTCATTTGCTCTTACAGGCGACCAAAAGTCACTCGAAACATCTTGCACAATTCAACTTTTTTTTCCATGTTTGACAACATTAGCATGTAGCTTGCCAGGGTCATAAACGGCTCCAGCAAGGTAAAAAGAACAAAACAATTATGCAATGCTGAAATCTATTGGTGGTTTCAGGTGGTGTCAGAATCGGTCAACATGCAGTTGATCCTGCCCATTCACCTCAGCAACAGACCACACATCTCTCATCAGGTTTCAGTGTGGATTTTACACATTGTTGCACTAATCTGGCTAAGCCTCATCCATTAACCATTACATTTAGCTCACAAAGGCCTTTAAGCTTGACACAATGTTGTCGGTGACATTTAATAAGTTAAGGATCAATCTAGGAAGTGCCCGTTGGCTGGTGTCAGTTCAGGTACAAACATGGTATTTTATTGTATCTTGGTGTAAGTTTCTTTGATCTGGGTATAACAACAGCTCACTGTGTGTGTCTCTACCAACATTGGTGCTTGATTTACTCCAAACCACAGTTCAGCACAAGTCTGGGTATGTGAGATTAACTTTGCATTAACAACTCATCTGGCAGTCTCTACGCTAAGACTCTCCAAATCCAACTGTCAGGTGCAAACTTTGTTCCATGTTTAAACAAGGCTGTCTTCCAGGTTTCAACACTGAGACTATGGTCGGTCCGGGCTAAACTATTAGCCTTGTTTACTTGTGGGAAAAGTGGTTGGGAAACTGCTGCTCTGCCAAAAAGCTGCCATTTCAAAGTGTGTTTTGACTGTAAGTTTACTAGAAGGAGATTGAAAAGGTCTTCCTTAAATTTTCAGTTTTTGCACTTTTTTGAGTAATTACTGGGGGACTACTTACTGTTACGGTTAGAACTATGCAACTTAACACAAAACAAAGAGACAGTATACATAATATTTACAGTACCAACTGAAATATTAGAGTTTTTTTTTTTAAAGAACCAGGACATTATATAGTAGTTACATGGTTCTACAAATCTGTTGATGTCCAGAATAGAGTTCCATTTGTAAATGTTAATTTGTCTTTTTTGGAGTGGGGTTGTATGAGGCACTTGCAGTATATGTAGTGTATGACCTACAGTAGATGGAGTTCCAGCTCTGGAGCAAAGTTATGTACTGCTGTGGACGGGGCAGCAGTGAAACCTATTTAAAAAATCGTATACTCACTTGTAACTCATTGAGAATCTTTCTAGAACATTACAATTACATATCAGTTCCCTTCTTATATATAAATTATTGAGAATAATAAGATTAAAGGTGGCCTAAGGTTTTGCATACAAACTGGTGTGTGTGGTTACCTATATTGAGAGTGAGGGAGGCTTCCATGGTGCTGAACTGGTGTAACTTCGTCTGCATGAGGCTGGCTCGGTTGCAGCGCATAGCCGGCATCGTCTGAGACTTCCTGTCGGAGGAGAACAGCTTCGGCACACATATCTCCTGACTCCTGTATGAATGAAATGCCCACAGAGAGAAATAGAGAGAGAGAGAGATACAGTTATCTTATCCATTATATGAACATAACATAAGAAAAGGTCATTACCGAACACATCACCCATCAGAAACAATGAGTGATGCAATGATTAACCAAACCACACCAACAGTTCTATGAAATCGTGGAAGTATGTAATCGTAGCTTCAGATTTATGTGACAGGTAGGTCAACAGTGCTGTTGGTTTTGCAGCCTTACCGCCCAATGTTCCTTTTTCCAATGTACCGGAGCTGAACCACACAGGTCCTGCAGGGACAGTGACAATAATAAAGAAATATCAGCAGGAGAACGGGAACGTCTTACTCAGTTTACTTTTAACCTTCCTGGTATTTATTCAAAAAACCTTTTCGTCTTTGTTTTATACGACTTTGGTTCGTGAGCAATAAGGTAGCACTACAGTGTCTATCCGATCGTCTGTTAACACACACAGACTTTTGTGGTATTTGTGCCATAAAAAAGTGAAAGTGAAAGGTAAACTCATTCGTTCATGTTTCTTTAAGGGGGCAACAGACAGCTTTGACTGATCATTATGAAGTAAACAATGACATGAGATGACTTTATCAGCATTTAGATTGGCTTTAGTCTGGCTTTCACTATGCTATTCTGTCTGCCATCTCCTGGAAAAATGGCAGAATTTATGGCACAAAGCCTTGAAAAACTAAATGTAGTGCTTTCTGTGAAGTGCTGCCAACTCTTTTCCAATCAATGTCACTAAGACTAGCTGAAAAAAATGTCTACTGCCATTTTAAATGATTCGGTTGCAGATAGCTCACTTTAATTTACCATTTTCCAAGTCACCAAGAGTGATGACAGTAACAAAAGACTGTTGACTTTAACAGTATTAGTCATAAGAAAACACGGGTATTTACTGCATTACAACAGACCATTATGTATTTTTATACCACTACTCACTCTAGCAAACTGAGGAAGTTCATGATGTCTTGAGGGCCAACTTTGTTCCAGTAGGCCATGAGAGTGTCTGTGGACAAAAACAAAGTCAAACTCTTTGATGCATGTTTTTTTTTTGGAGCCAACATTAATCAATGTGCAGTTCCTGTGGATTTTACATGGACCCGTGGAGCTAAATCAACTAAACATCCTCGATGACAATCAGTCAATCCACAACTTCATTGTTTGTGCAACGGCTGAGCCAAGCTTCTGCGTAGACTCTACCCCCAAAAATAGCAGAACTTTATGTAATTTCCTGTGCATGGTGAGTGACCGGGCAGTGCGGTTACAGATCATCACTGACCCTCTGACAAGGTCTTGGCGATGTGCAGGAAGGAGAGCAGGAGGCCCTTGATCTCATACTGTCCCAGTCTGCCGATGGGAGGCACGGGGCTGCTGCTCATGGTGGAGCCACGCCTCTGCAGCTGGAACAACACAAACACACTCAACGATGAGATATTCAAATCCATGGGAGAAAGAAAAAAACGCTGACTCAGCCAAACAAGTCTTTATATTTGGTAACTTTTTCCAGCCTACAACTGTATTTTGAGACAGAGGTTGGTCTGCACATGGGATTTCCCCGGCCTGCATCCTTTAACAAAGAGTATTGTTAAGGACGTTACTATAGATTCAACTATTCCAGCAAGAGGAAAAAGTCCTCATGTCTACACATGGTCCACACTAGGGCTGTGGATTGGCAAGATTCTGGCAATAAGATACGTATCATGACACAATATATTGCGATACTGCAAGCAAGGCGATATATTTCTGTTTTTTAAATATAATTTTAAAAGTTGCGTTGAACATCATGAAGCTATCTAGAGTTTACAAGTGAGGTTACGTGATGGGTGACGTTCAGGGAACCGAGTTGTGACCAAGAAGTGACATAACGTTGTAACCATTAGACTGTTTCAAATAACCAGCGACCGTAAACCAAAGATGGTGGGCTGAAAAGAGCGTATTTACACAGACGATAAATAATCTTCTCCAGTCCATCTACACTCCACATCTGGGTGCATGACAAAACAGCGGATGCTCACTCAGCTCTGGAATCAGACCAGAGAACATGAACATGAATGAGCCCGTGTGTTTTCCAGTATAAACCTGGCTTGCTATGTTGGCAATGTGTTCAGAGACTGCCAGCACCGAGAGGACACTCTTCAAAAGCATTACGGAGATGTTTTCTTCAGTGTTATTTTCATGAGAAAATTTTGTTTGTTATGAGAATATGCACCGTGGAGATTTGGATCCAAAACAGTGTGTGTAAGTGGCGTGAGCTTTAGCCCATTGTTTATTAAAAGAATCGTACATATCTATCTATATAAAAAAAAAAAAAAAAAAAAAAAAAAAAAAAGGGGATCGACAGAACAAATCTAATTTTTCAAACTCTCTGATCGGATTTATGCAAATAAGCACAAACATCATTTGTGTTTGCTAAGATAAAATGCGTTGTTGTTTCTTGGCATTAATGGGGATGTGTCAGGCTGTGCCGGGGCTTTGTGTTTAGCCGAGGTTCTGCTGGTGTAGAATGTTCTCACCTCAGTGCTGTCTGCTGTTCCCGAGTCCATGAACAGAGAGCATCGGGAGTCCTCTCTCCTCACAACGTGACCATTCTGAACTGGCAGACCTGGAGCCAACACAGTATAGTTTTAATGCCAACTGAAAGCAGCACAATAACGTAAACACATTGACTCAATTCTAACAAGCTCACTGGCAGTGACATTAGCACATTTAGGGTAGATACTGATACCGTCTCAAGCTCAGAAAGGAATGTAGGCACTGCATACTTGACCTCCTACTGATAACATATCTGATAAACAGATCCTAAATAAACCATCTATTAAGGGGAATATAAAGTCTTCTATGGCTCTTAAGAAGCTTTGAGAAGTCCCACAACACACTGTGGTTCGGTCACCAGGGAAAAGAATCGACTGAAATGCATTTTGGGAAGTGTGTGAAGGACTCATACGAGACACTAACTGTCATTGTATCTTCTTTAACCTCAGTCCGTCTCTTGTGACTTCTTGTGAAATGCAAAACCAAATTGCCGGAGAACTCTTCGACACTGAAGCGTTTCACTTTGGATTTCCTTGGTTGCTACTTTCTTCTTGACAACAACATCTCAGTGTATGTCATGCAGTGTACAAATCAAAATGTCTCCATTATCACAGAATAAGAAAGCCTTGGGTAAGTGCAATGATGCAGGAGAGTGTGCCGCTAATGGACCGAGTCCTGTGCAACATAAATGTTGCCAGTGTGGTGATGATGATGGATGATCTGTAAACAGGAAGAGACCAGATGCCCAGATATGCTGGGCAGTGTCTGTCTGCGCGGTTCTGAACTCACCATGGTCTCTCTCAATTGCAGTGCTGGTTCTCCTGCTGTCTGTGGACCCCGTTGATATCAGGTCATCTCTGGAGCCCTGGACAGCCACATGGATGGAAGAAGTGAAATCTGGCTTACCGTTGAAGGGATAGATCAGATTTTTTAAATTGGGCTTGTATGAGGTATTTATCCATAGTCAGTGTTTTACCTACAAAACGTATTTTAGACTAAATCAACAGCAGCTTAAGTGAATGCTATATTTAGAATCATTTCAGCTTTTACATTGCCGTCTGACGGGTATCTGTAGCACACAAACCTAACCGCCCGAGGCAGCGGTAGAACAGCAACTTCTATGTTCTGAGTTGTAAATACTGTTTGTTCAATTAAACAGAGACAAAACTGAGGTAGTCATTTTTGGAGCCAAGGAGAGACGTTGACAAGTCAGTGCTCGACTTGAGTCGGCAACGTTAAAAACCTCAAACCAAGCCAGAAATCTAGGTGTAGTCATGGACTCAGACCTAAATTTCAAAAGCAACATTAAGACAATTACAATTACTACCATTAAGGGACTTATGTCTCGAGAGGACGAGTCCATGTATTCATCTTCAGCAGACTACTGTAACGGTCTCCCTGAACAATTTGACAGGTGCAGCTGATTCAGAACGCTGTAGCTGGAGTCCTACACTACTGTTGGTTAATTAAACACTGAATGGTACATTTGTGATCTTCTGCTATGCTATGAACCATCCAGACCTCTCAGGTGGTCTGGGACAGGTCTGCTTTCTGTCCCCAGAGTCAAAACTAAACATGGAGAGGCAGCATTCAGTTTTTATATATATCTAGAACAAACTACCAGAAACCGGCACGTCAGCTGGAACCTTCACTGCCGCTGCCTTTTATTAAATCATTTCTCACTGTTTGACTCTATTTCATACCTGTCTTATTCTATTTTAGCTTATTTGTTTCATATTCTCTTGGTTCATAAATGACAGTTTTTGAATTGTATTTACGTAAATGTGTTTCTTTTGCACTGTTCTGAATTGCCTTGGTGCTGAAACGTGCTATATAAATAAACTCGTGTTGCCTTGCCTTCGTCAATAGAGTCTTGTGGCTTTGACGACACCACAGATAACGGCTTCTGTTCACCGTCAGAAATGACTGTCTGACGGTAAGTTAAAGCGGTGAAAACATTCTAAATACAGCGTACACTTAGAATGATGTAGATCTGTTTTAAATGTCTAAAATAAATGACTTTGCTCCCGCGCTGGTGCTCCGGTCTGTTTATCCTAACTCCATCTACTGTAGGCACCACTCTGACTATGGATAAGTAGCTCATACAACACAACTTAAAACGTTATTTTTTGAAATGTATACTGTTCGTTAGGGAGCACCTGCTCCAGGTTTCACTCAAATGAACTGTAGGAAGGCTCAGACTTCATGATAAACAATACGTTGAGAAGTACTGACTCCATTATTTCACCCTCCTGACAGATAGCATTTGAAGTTTGCATCACAACTAAACAGTCAGGGTGCAAACACACACAGAATCCAGGAAACTGTAACTGTGAATCCTCCCAAATGACTTCCAACGCAGTCATATGCTCCTGTTAAAATGACGTCTTTATTACATTAAGAAAATAATCACGTTTCAAGCACAAAATGATGAGCAAATGGCTCATCGTTATGTGCAGATGATTCAAGGCTCCTCGGTATTTGAATCAAGGCTCCTCTTGAATCTTTATATGTTTCTTCATGTAATAAACAGGGTTGAAGGTAGAAGGTAGGTTGAAGACCTCAGCAACCCTACTGTGGAAATCCAGGGTTCAGAGGGGACTCACATTGAGGCCGAGCCCGGGGCTGGAGCTGTGTGGCTGGGCAGACAGCTGCTTCAAGTTCTGGTAGAGCAGCTCAAAGAGTGGCAGGTAGAGCAAACAGATCCTGGCCTGCTGATTCTGAAACATTAAATATGATTAGATGAGGGTTTTTTTTTAATAACAAATGCACTGATATGTAATACACATCTGTATTAATACCGATGAGTGAACTTATAGAGCGCGACAAAATGGCTACACTTGTAATAAATACATAGCTGTTGTCTGCCCTGAACAAACTACTCAATCGCCAACCGCTCCCAGCTGCTCCCAATAGTGCCTGCACTCTAAACACTGGCTGGTTTGCATAACAGACATTGGTATCTTGTTAAGGGCATGGACACACAGTTAAGAGCGTCCCCTGTGTCAAACATTAACTTTTTGCGTGCCAACATTGAGGTTCTGATTCAAATAGGTTGCACAAGGATCTTATTATGTGCAATATAAATACACTCTGCAATTACAAACAATTATTCTGTCTGTATATACAATATCTCTTGTTATATTTTCGTTATTGTGGATTTTTTTACTTAGTTAACATTCTTTACTGTTTTATTACTTATTTATAATACTTGTTTTGATCTTGTTTTTTACTATGTCTCTTGCTGTATGACATAGTCTGATGGTTAGTTGGATTTTGTCATAACTTCTTGGGGATATCTTAAAACTTCTGTAAATGACAGACACCACTCAAGCATGACTTAGCAGGTAATTTAGTCTCATATTCAGCATTTCTATTCATTGCTATTTAAACCAAACAACTACATACAGGATAAGGGAATTTATGCTGATTGAGTCAAGATCGAGTGTAGAATTTATTTTTGAATGAGACGGAATAATTATTGTCTCGATAAATCAGATTTTATAGACATTTCCAGGTCCCCAATAATTTGGAACATTAGAAATAAAACAGACTTTGATGATCCAACAGTGAGAATTATGTTTCAGTGCCTACCAACCCTCCAAATTAGGCTAGATTCTATAAAGGCCTTATAACAAAAATACATACCACTCTACAGAATGCATTAATATCAAATAAGGACTGACTGGACGTGTGAAATTTCCAGTGGAGATGCACCAACTTTCCTGTGAGGCCGGATTTTGGGTGGAAGTCTTCTATTTGTTTCTTTATTCAACCGAATTGCCCCGCCCTCCCTCACCTTGAACGCTGTGTAGCGGTCGTCCATGGCGTGCTTAATAAGAAGGTTCTTGAGAACGCTCACGGCCAGCTGTCGGACCTCGGGCCCCTGCTGCAAGGCCTCAGCCACTTCTCTCAGCAGCAGGCCCACCAGGAAGTGGTTACGGCAGTACTCTTCTGTCAGGCTGAACTCCAGACTCTGCTCTGTGGTTGGGCCGGACAGGAAGCATCAGTACACGAGCATAGGCTGAACTGATGCTGATAAAATATGGCTTGTTGGGACACCGTCTGTGAGGTCATGACTGTGGGAAGTTTCCTAATACTAAAATCTGATAACCAGTCTTGTGAAATGTGTTTTCTGTTGAAGATGTAACTCGTAAGAAGATGCTGTTAGAAATCTAATGGCATCTTCTTATATAGAAGATCTCTAAAAATTAGATAATTATGATTGTATATTACATAGTACATGCAATATAATCAGTATTGTTCAGTCCTACTGTGGCATCATTTAAAGTGCAACATTGCAATATGCAACAGAATCTCAACAAAAGCACACATTCATTCAGACGTTAACATTTCCACACCACACCAAAGAAGGAGGAATCAAAGGGACAGTTCATCCCAAAATCCAAAATATATATTTACCCTCCTATCTGTTGTGCTATCTATTTATCTAGATTGTTTGCTGAGTGTCATCCAGTTCCATTATATTGCAGACATCTCTTTTGCCGATAACTCTAAAGTTAAACCAAAACAATCTAGATTGATAAATAGCACTAAAGGTGAGTGGGAAAATATGTATTTTTGACTTTGGGATGAACTTACCCTTTAAGATCACATATTTCTCAGTGCCTACATTGGGAAATATATAATGCAGTACATTTCCGTGCCATTGGAAATGAGAAGTTGTCCGTTTCCCCCCACAAACAACGATTTCATAATAATGCAGTGTTAATATCAAAGCAGGCAATGCAGCCTGGGAACTGAGCTCCCATCTGCAGCAATTATCTTCTCTAATGACGGAGACAGAGAGACAGGACAGAGAGCGAGAGAGACAGGACAGAGAGGCAGAGAGAGAGAGAGAGCGAGAGCGAGAGACACACATACATACACACACACACACACACACACACACACACACACACACACACACA